TGCTATGCTAGTGCTGGTGACTTCAATGCCCCAACTGTACTAGGGCTCCTCCCATCCTGGCTTATTACTGGCCCCTGACTCACCCATGACATCACTACAAGAGGACTCTAACTAAAAGGGGTCTAGCACTTGATGACACTACCTTCTGTAACCAGTAATTACTTTGGAACAGAGCCACCTAGCAGCAGATTAGCAAACTGCACTTGCCTACAAACTGAGAGAACATGAAGAAGAAAGAAGGGGTCTATCTATGGACTAAACCAAAAATCCCCAACATGCAGGTAAACTAGTATATATCATTTTAGAAATTCAGTAGTAATGAGTTAAATAGTTACACTGGATTGCAACTAGATGTCATCACAAAGATTTTTTTACATTACATAATGAAATCCAATGCAAAGGTGATGGATACATTTTAAATGTTCCAGAACAGTGGCGTTTCCTAATGCTTTTTGCAATGGCCCCAGGACAAATGAAGGGAGAAGATAGTACAAAAGTCTGATATAGGTTCTAATCCTTCCCCACTCCAACCAAAGCTGAAAAAAATTACGTTTTGGAAATGCATATGTAGCAATCGTGCGCACAGATATGGACACGGACACCATTTTGCTAAGATCCACCATCTTGTGTCATTCTCACTCCAAATCAGTCCCCCCTCCCTTCCTGTGGAATGGCATGTGGTCTGGTGTGGCTGAGTTCAGGAGTGCATTGGGCACATCTGGATACACTTCATGGTTGTAAATCCAATTAGCTGATTCCAGTGGGTCTGGCAGACTCTTGCTCTGAGCTGCTTGTAAAGCTATAAACCCGTCAGTCACTGGACTTGAAAGCATTCCAGAATAGCAGTAAAACCTTACATCCCATTTGAAACCACTTTTTCATACACTTTCATAACTTCTCGTAGGAAATACATACAATAAAACAAAACATATATTCAGATAGGTCAGTTTAATGCGAGTCACTTGATACCTTACATCCCTAGATTACGTCTACCCGAGAGCAGAAAGCAATATCTCCTTAACCGTCCAAAGCAGATATGTCATATCTGGTGTCTGGACGTTCATAATATCATTCTGCATATTATCCTACCAGTGGATAGGATGCTACATGTACCTTTGGAAGGTAATTGACCATGGTGTGGACTTGAGAGGGATTTGGGTCACAGCTGGCGTCTCCGCCTAAACCCCCCTCCCCAAATGAGGCGATTGGCCCTTTGTTTTCAGTAGGCACCCCCTGCTGGTGGACTAGAAAAGAGGCTGTCAGGCCTGAGAGAGGTAAGGTGAAGAGATCTCCCTTTTAACATCAGTAACCAACTTTGGCAGAAATGGTACCCTTTTTTTTCAGAACACTTGAATATGCCTAAACCAAGGACTCTACATCTTTTTCTGCAAATATTTTTATTGCACCATTTTGACCTTTTTAGTAATAAATCCTATTTTCTGAAAAGTGCTGAACTGTTTCTAAAGCTCTTTAATGCAAACTAAGAATTCCTGTCTCTGAAGAGCGCTACTGTGTGTTTTAAACTTCTGCATATATCTGCCTGCGGTGACAGTGTGTATACAGACGCTTATTCAAACATCATACTGTTACTGCTAAGATTGGCGAGTTTTCTCCTTCTCCGTACAAAAAGGCAGTGGTGGCAGTGTGAAGGGTTAATTGCGTAATTAATCTGACCCAGTAACAATCGCTCTCAGGCTGCGGCACATAGATTGTGGTCAAGTGAGCTGGAAAATGTTTGTGCAGGGTGCGTGGCATTATTACGTACGTGACAGCGCGGTTTTAGATTGGCTAGTCCTTCGGTCACAAGTTGGTGAGAAGGGCTGGTGGTCTGATGCCGCATCCGTCACAGCATACACTTCAACTGCTTTAGCAGCTTGATAAATCAGGCACTTTGTGTCTACAATATCCTCTCCGTCCTTTGTGTGTATGGTGTAGTCTCTGTCTACTTGTTCCAGCCATGCTGTCCATACCTCCATACCTGTTATTTTTTGCACTCTTTTGCTTTTTGTGTCTCTTGATGTGGTTTCTGTATTTTTGTATATGTCAAATACTCTTCCTCTGTGTGTATGTTAGCATCTAAGACACCTGCTGGTAGCACCATGGTCCATGGATCCTAAGTTCTACAGTTCCCAGCAGGCAGTCCAGTCCCAGTTGTTGCTGGCTGATGGAAGGGTATTTAGCTCCTCCTTTTATAGTATCTAGCGTGTGCCTATTTCTGCTGATCTACTGCTCTTGTACCTGCTACCTGTACTGGTTACCATGTACCTGCTACTCATTTTAGCCCTCATTCCTGTACTGATTCCTTCCAAACCTGCTTCCTCAACCTGTTCCCCCACTATCTTCTATCCAGGGCCGATGATTCCACTAGGCCAGGGGTGGGCAACTGTCGCCCTCCAGCTGTCCCATGAGGCATTGCAAAACTGACAGTTACAAGCATGACTCCCAAAGGCAGAGGCATGATGGGACTTGTAGTTGACCAACAGATAGAGGGCCACAGTTGCCCACCCCTGCACTAGGCAGCCTAGGGGAGCCTGGGCGCAGCACAGGCCGGCATTCTCTCTGTGTCAGATGCCTCATCATAAATGATCCTTCAGATGAGGGGAGGGGCAGCAGAGGGGAGGAAGAAAGGACAGAGGAAGATGCTCGGTGTCTGGGGCCAGTGTAGCAGCTGAGCTGCCGTTCCTTCAAGTGTTCCTCTCAGATTCAGTCCCTTACTGCAAGTCGACTGGTGACTGCTGATCACTGTGGAGTTCCAGCCCTTCTCTTCCCATTCATCAGTGGAGGCTGAGCTGTGCCTGTGGAGGAAAGTAATGTCTGACTCAGTGCCAGTGACTGATGACATCATCACGATCCCACAACCTGCTTTTCTAGTGCCTGCTGAACTGTGTCAGTGTTGGTTGTGGTATATTGTGTTGGATCTGTCACTGTGTGGGATCGCTCAGTTCAGGTGTTCTCTGTGTGTGTGGGCTGGACTGCCTGCTGTCATAGTGTTTTATCTCCAGGGGCGGACTGACCATTTGGAAACTCGGGCACTGCTCGAGGGCCCGGGGGTCAGTAGGGGGCCCCATGAGATGCCCCTGGTACCTTTTTCATAGGCTTTTTTGAGTTTTGGGCAAAGACACATTGGCCCCATTATCCCCTATTGCCCGGGGGCCCCATGAGTTGTCAGTCTGCCCCTGTTTATCTCCCCCATTGCCTGGGGAATTCCACCCTGGGATCTGTCAAAGTATGGATCCATCATCCTCCATTCACTGCAACTGTCACCCTGCCACTACCAGCCACAGATACAGTTCGGCTGTGACACTGATTTTGGCTTTAACATTGGTGCTGGTGGTATCTTATGGCACTTATATTTGAAAATTAAAAGAAATTTAGCAGTTTCATGTTTTGTTGATTTAATATATTCTGTTTTTTAAAAGTTTTATTTATTTGTTGTTTTTTTTTTTTTAAGGGGGGGGGGGCGCATGCAGCTGGTCTAGCCTAGGGCAGAAAATAGTCTAGCATCGGCCCTGCTTCTATCCCTTCCATTCCCATTGCTGACCTTTCTTGTTCCCCATTCCTTATACACCTACCTATCCATGCTTAACGTGATTACTCTTTCTTTTCTGTATATAGTTAGTTTCACATGTCACGTGTGCCCACTTGGTTTATATTGGTTGCTATATTTGTGTTTTATGTCACTTGTGTATTGTATTCTTATATTCACTTAGACTTTAGTCTGATTTTCTCTGTGTAGCTCCACATATCTGGTCTTGCTAGCACTGCAGTATACTAGCACACGGTGTCCTAACAGTCTACTATAGTCTCTCCGTTTCTTAATGTCTGCAATGAATTCTTCATGTCATGTGCATTCCATCCCTTTGTGCCTGTTTTGTACTTTCCACTACTTAGTGTCTGCAATGTGCTCTCCTTTCCTATGCCTGTCTTGCACTCTTTTGTGTCTGGTTCTTGCGCTCCCCTCCCTTTTGTGTTTGTCTGGTATGCTTCAGTTCTTTGTGTCTTCCTTTTGTGATGTTGTCCTTGATGTAAATATATTATCCTCTGCAGCTGTATCTTGAGATCCCTCACAACCTGACTCTAGGGGGATGATTTACTAAAGGCAAATAGATTATTAACTTTGCAAGGGAAATTGCACTTTGAAATGGAATTTTCCCCAGAGCTTAGTAAATGAGGTGAAGCTCTGCTGATCTTCATTATTCAATAATGTGCAACAAAAATGTTGCATTTTTTATTGCATGATTGGATATTCTTTGAAAAATGACACTTCAGCGAATTCACTAAGCTCTGGGGTAAATTTATTTGCAAAGTGCAACTTCTCTTGCAAAGTGAGCAGCCAATTTGATTTTAGTAAATCACTTTGCAAGAGAATTTTCCCTTAGCTTAGCGAATGTGGGAAAAATTATCTTTGCAAAGAATACCCAGTCGTGCACAGAAATACAAAAACAGTATTTTTGCTTGCACATGATTGGATGATGGAAGTCAGCACAACTTCCCCACATTATTATTATTATTATTATTATTATTATATACAGGATTCATATAGCGCCAACACTTTGCTCAGCGCTTTACAATATAAATTCACTGAGCTAAGGAAAATTCATTGCAAAGTGAACACACCCTATTTGTTTTAAGTAAATCTACCCCACAGTCTCTCCTTTCAGTTTTTTTGCCCTTGTCAACCCTGTGTTTTGGATGTTTTTCTGACTCCTTATTATTAAAGTGTATTTTTAATTTTTTTTAATTTATTTTTTAAGTTTTGGATAGAGTGGGTTGTGTTTTAAAAACTCTATCAGGTTCTTTATTTCTGCATGTGTCCCACTTGTACAATTTACCTGTCCTGTTTCTTGGTGACCACTGTCACTGGGACAAAACATGATGAAAAACTCCAAAATGTTTTCCACCAAGAATGGACACTTGTTTCTGTGTCGGATGTCTAATATAGGGGATTTTCCCTCACTTCCTGTTGCGTTTTCTGGAAAACAGAAATCTTCCAAGACACATACAGCAAAAAAAGGTTAACCTCCCTGGCGGTATTCCTGAGTGTAGCTCGGGGTAAAGTTTCAGTACCACAAGCGGTAACCCCGAGCTACACTCGGGCTTAGCATGCGGCGCTGCTCCACGATCCCTCGGTCACTTACCTTGTCCTGCACTCCTGTGATGTCCCTCCTGCAGTGTCCACGGCAATGTCCTCCGGTGGATGCCGGCATCTGTCATCTGGGTTCCGTCCCCTGCGAGCGTCGGGTCGGAAAGGCGGGAAATTTGAAAATGCCAAAAAAGTGACATTCACTAAAATCACATAGTAAAACATTACTGTATTAAACCATTTCACATACATTTTGTCCCGAGTGCTTTGTCCTGTGCCCTGCCTGCATTTTTACTGTTCTTTCTACCTAGAAACTGAGAAATGTCCATGGCATCCAAAAAGCGTCCCTTTAGGCCAAAATCAGTTTTAGACCAGCTAGAGAACAGCGATAGTAAATCAGAACCACTTGCAGAATTGAGTGATAATGATTCGTGGAGAAATTCGTCATCAGACACTGAAAACGATTCTGCGACTTTGCTCAGTGATGTGCGAACTTGGCGCTATATTTCAAATTTTAGTGTTTTTGGTTTGATAATATTATTGAATTAAATTTATTATTATTATATTATTATTTTTTATGATTATTTATTAAATAATAATTTATGATTTCATGTTTCAAATTTTATCATACCCGGGGTGTTTACTAGACTCTTGTTCAGGCAGATTTCAGTGAGTCATTCCTAAGAATTACAGGCCTACAATATAAAACGCCAAGTTTCCATGCAAAATAATGGTACCGCTTTCAGCACCAAAAATCTGAAATAATCATACCGCCAGGGAGGTAAAAATTGTTTGTTTTAGCTGTTAATATGCAGGGGTGTTTGTTTTGATTTCTTTATTGCATGATAGAAGCAACGTCAGTCCAGTCATACTACATTCTCATGGTGCTTTGGATACTATGGGGTTTATTTATTAAAGCTGATCCAATGTAAAGTAGCAATTTTTGTAGAAAGGTTGTTTGTTAGAAGGGTCATGCAAGACTGGGCACACACTGGGATTTATTTACTAAAGCTGGAGAGTGCAAAATCAGGCTCACATTTCTGAATAGAAACCAATAAACTTCAAACTTCATCTTGTTCAATTTCAGCTTTGGCAATAAAACCTGGAAGCTAATTGGTTGCTATGTAGAAGTGAGCCTGATTTTGCACTCTCCAGCTTTAGTAAATAAATCTCTAAGGGACTCAAAGCTTAAAGAGACAGGCATTTACTAATAGAAGGAGGGACTGATTAGAATTAATTGAAATTGTTCATGCTATGCAAAGAAAATCTAGGGCTAAGTATATATAGCGTCCTTCAGTGTAGGTAGGATTTTTGTTTGTTAGACAGAGGCTTGCTAGGCCTGGGATGAGTCAGCCTGCTACTGAGGCAGAGAGGTTACCTCAAGGCAGTCGGGGAGGCTCTACATGTCCGGGCTTCTGGAGCCCTCCCACCCTATTAGAAACTGCTGGAACATTCTAGAAGAGGGGCAGAGGAGGGGAAGAGGCCTGGATGGGCATGTTTGAGAGAACCTGGCCAATCCCCAGACAGGAGGCCTGGCATGGTGGCTAGGACAGCCCTTAAATGTGGGAAAACCTGATCAGCAAGAGAGCTGTTGGAGTCAGGTGGAAGATGGATTGAAGAAAGGTGCTGGCGTGAAGCCTGGGATGGGGGGCCTACCTACAGACTAGAGCTGGACAGAAGGATCTCCACTGCCCTACAGTCTACTTGGGATAGACAGTCTGTCAGCAGGGAAGGAGCCAGCCCAGCGTAAGGTCTGAAAGCAGGTGCAATTCATTAAGCTACAGGACAGTGTGAGTACTTCTACACCCCCTGGGCCAAAGGAGGAGGATGGCGGTCAGGTGCAATACCCAACTGGTTCTCATCTGGGACTATTGCAGGGTAGATCTTGGAATCCCTTGCCTAGGGATATCCTCAAGACAGCCGAGTGGATGAGGAGAGCTTCATCTAGGGCCTGAGGAGGTTCACCAATGGGGACTCAGTGCTCCTTACTAAGACTGTTGCTGCTAAGAGGTTGTCCTCAAAGTTTGACAGTTCCTTGGGCATCCCATATACCCTTAGATCCCATCCAAGTTGTTAATCCCTAATAAAAATAACAAAACAAGCTCAAGGACTGTTTTACTGACTCTGAGAGAAAGTGTGGAAAATGCGTGTTGCCTGGCTGTGCAGAGCTTAGGGGGACCCAGTGAAATCCAGTGGTCCTCAAGGGGTAGCGCTACATATATTTTCCTCATAGGAGGCTGTCTGTAATGCATTGTACAAAATATGTGTAAGTCATTTGGGAAGATGACCTTCTGGGGATTTGATCCATAAGATTGGCTAACGTTTGACCAGCTGTAATTTGTCATACTACATTAATGCAGTGTGCTTTTAGAAATAGAACAGCATTTGCAGTGATCTCTGTTTAGAAAAGGTAGACGCCATCAGCGGCGGACTGACAACTCATGGGGCCCCCAGGCAATAGGGGATCATGGGGCCCCTGTGTCCTTGCCCACACTCAAAAAAGCCTATAAAAAAGGTACCAGGGGCATTTCATGGGGCCCGAGTGCTCGAATGGTCAGTCCGCCCCTGGACGCCATGCAGGTGCAACAGAGCATGTGCACACTACTGTATGGCGGTGGTATGCAAGCACAATGTGCTGAAAAAGAGTAGTGCATGCACTACTTTTCTTCTTTGCAGTGCAAATCACCCACCTCACACTACGCAGCAGTCAGTTGAACTTTATTAAATGTTTGTGTGACATTTAAAGAGGTTGTAAACCCTTGCATATACCCAGTGAAGTGACCGGCCTCAGGTGATACACAGAGATGAAATAAATCCTCCTACATAAGTTGTACCTGTCTACCTGTCTATCTACAGCCATCTGTCCCCTACATCCATTCAAAGTGCAGAATTTACATTGGCTCTCTCAGCTCTGAAAAGCAGGGGGTGGAGAGCTGAAGTTACACTCATTGTGGAGATATCTGAGAGATGACTGGAGAGAAGGGACGCACCCCTTCACATAGCACACAGGAGCAAAGCTGAGGCTGTCAATCTGCCGAAAGTCCCTCCCCTGTCACCATTTTTCTCTTTGTGTCAGAAAAACCTGTCAGAAGTGGCTCATGCTGATAGCAGCGGAATGAAGCAACAGACAGAAATGACACTTAGCGCTCTTAAGTGAGACAAGTACACACTATAGAGGGATATGCTTTGTTCATATTTGTCTGAGGTTTACAGCCACTTTAAATAAAGTTTGTTGAAAAAAAAAAAAAAAAAAGGAACAGTGCGATACAGTGTGGTGATCAGCATTGCACACTAACCGCTGCATTACAACATGACGACTGGTATAGATGGACTCTAAACCTAAATAAATTATCATTTGAAAAGTTTAGAATCCTAGAGTGAACTTGTTCCCTATTCTAAACAAGTAGTAAAAGCACATTAAAGCAAGCCCTCATTCACCTCTGTAGCTATAGGCATTGTGAAAAATCTTATTAAAATCAATAGAGGAACTCAGATCTTAGCTCTTTCCAGAATACTTTCTATTGCAGCAGAATCTTGGCAGCTTGCCAGCTTTATAATGGAAACACACAAGTGTTTCTAGGCTGTAACGATGAGTCCCTACTGGGGAAGATGGGACTTGTAGTCTTTTTCATTCACAGATTATGCTGAATTAATGATGCGGCTGAATTCAAATAATGGCAGGAGGTGGCAGGGAGAAGAACCCTCAGATTCTGTAAGTGGAGGAGTGTTTTGGGGGTGGGGGCTGAAGACTGTGATCATGTATAATGTTATAGCTTAAATATGTACATACAGTGCCACATAAATGTGAAGTGGAAGGGAAATGATAAATGGTTTTCAAATTTTTTTACAAATAAATATCTGAAAAGTGTGGAGTGCATTTGTATTCAGCCCCTTTACTCTGATACCCCTAACTAAAATCTAGTGGAACTAATTGCCTTCAGAGGTCACCTAATTAATATATAGAGTCCACCTGTGTGTAATTTAATCTCAGTATAAATCAGTGCTTCTCAAATAGTGGGGCGTGCCCCCCAGGAGGGGCGCGAGGCTCCGTCAAGGGGGGCGCGGTGCGGTGCCGCCGCCGCCCCCCCCCCTTCCGACAGAAGGGACACTAAGTACAGGGGTGGGCAGAGGGCTGCTGTCTCTTACCTGGCTCCCACGATGATCCATCCAGGAAGCGCTGCTCCTTCCGTCACTCCAGCCACTCCCTCACTCCTGCCGCTCGGCTCCGCCTCCTCACCGGTGATTGGCCGCCAGAACTGTAGCTCAGGAAAGGTACACAGGCGGCCAATCACGGGCGAGGAGGCGGAGCCGAGCGGACCCGCGAAAATCGAGTGAGGGAAAAGCCGGTAAGTGTGCAGTGCAGAGGTGCTGCTGCAAAAATACTATTTACAGTCGCACGGGGGGCGCAAAATGTTTTCTTCTTCCTAGGGGGCATGACAGAAAATAATTGAGAAGCACTGGTATAAATACAGCGGTTCTGTGAAGCTTTCCGAGGTTTTTTAGAGAACATTAGTGAACAAACAGCATCATGAAGGCCAAGGAACACACACCAGACAGGTCAGGGATAATGTTGTGGAGAAGTTTAAAGCAGGGTTAGGTTATAAAAAAATATCCCAAGCTTTGAACATCTCATGGAGCACTGTTCAATCCATCATCCAAAAATGGAAAGAATATGGCACAACAGCCACAACTGCCAAAATTGAACTTCTTGGCCTAGAAGCAAAATGCTATGTGTGGAGGAAAACTAACACTGCACATCATCCTGAACACACCATCCCCACCTTGAAACATAATGGTGGCAGCATCATTTTGTCAGGATGCTTTTCGTCAGCTGGGACAGGGAAGCTGTTCAGAGTTGATGGGAAGATGGATGGAACCAAATACAGGGCAATCTTAGAAGAAAACCTTTTAGAGTCTGCAAAAGACTTGAGACTGAAGCGGAGGTTCACCTTCCAGCAGGACAACCACCCTAAACATACCGACAAAGAACAACGGAATGGTTTAGATCAAAGCATGTTCATGTGTTAGAATGGCCCAGTCAAAGTCCAGACCTAA